TGGGAATTCAACATATCTCATGGCATGGGGTTAGGGGTCCATTCCTCACAAGGATCAGCAGCCACAGGCTCTGTGTCTAGGGAAAAGATGTTCCTAAGTGATGTGGCCAAGGTGTTATGGTCACCCCTGGGAGCTTGTACATCCAGGAGAAGTGTGTTGGTACTTGGTGGGGGCCACACCACCTACACAGTGTAGCTCAGCTTTAGCTTGCAGAGAAGTAGAAGCAGCAACAGTGCCTCTTTCTTCCTAACACATCACAGACATGCAACATTCAGGATTTACTAATGAGAGGCACTGAACATTCCACTGTAATTGGAGCATTAAACCACTGTTGTGGTCACTTTTACCATGAGGAGACACCATGAACATGGCAACTTTTTATGAAATAAACCTTTTAATTGAGGCTTATTTACAGTTTTGGAAGCTTGGCCCATTATCATCCTGGCAGGGAGCATGGCAGCAGACAGGCAGACATGGTGCTGGAGAAGGAACTGAGAGCTATATCCTGGTCCACAAGAGGACGACACTGGACCTGGCTTGGGCTTTTGAAACCTCAAAGCCCACCTCCAGTGACACGCTTCCTCCGAGGAAGCCACACCTACTCCAACAAGGGAATAACTCCTAATCCTTTTAATATTTACAGTCTCTCTCCTGGCAACTAAGTATTAAATATATGAGCCTATGGGTGCCATTCTTATTCAGAATTATTATTCACCACAACCATCAAGAAAACCAACAGTGAAACTAAACATTATTCTGCATATAAGTGAAATATATATTTGTATTTTGAGTCTTGTCAGGCCCCAACGTTGCACAGCATTGAGGGATATCTGTCCAGTCTAGCTGACTTGTCCAGTCCATACCTGAGAGGGGGAGTCTAGCTTGAGGAAAGAAACAGACTAGAAACATGAGATAGAGTCAGGAGAGTACCTGGTGAATACTGTGATCTGCCTTAAGGTTATTGCTCAAAATCCTTATATACCCAACCAAAAGTGGGGAAAAGGCAAGACTTTACTATGACACAAGGAACAAACAGACTTAATTACTTCCTTAATTCTCTAGCATTTAGTAACCACACCTTAGATCAAGCCTCTTGTTATCTGGCCTTGAGGATTAAGATGTCTAGTAACCTTAGGTCAAGTATTCTGTTATCTAGGTATGACATCCACACCTTAGGCCAAACAGCCTTCAGTAGCCACACCTTTAACCTTGAAAGAGCAAGGATAGTTTTGAACTCTGACTTTAAGTCAATGTGGAAGGGAGCCACCTCTATGGACCCTGACAGGGTCTGGCTTATCTCAATTAACATAATGCTTACAAGTTGTATCTTCCCAGCAAGTTCCATGGCTTCGTTATTCTATATGGCTGAGTGAAATCCCATTGTGTACAGGTGTCACATTATCTTTTTCTTTCTTTTTGTTGTTTTGTTTGTATCTTGTGGGATTAAAGACAAGTACTACCATGCCAGGCTTAGTTTCCTTCTTTAACATAAAGTTTTTTCAGAACCATTTGTTAAAGGGGCTATCTCTTTTTTTCAATATATGTTTTTGAAAGTTTTATCAAAAGTTAGGTGTCCATAACTGTGTGTTTACTGATGGGCCCTTCATTCTACTCCATTGGCCTATGAGTCTGTTTTGTTACAGTGAGTCTGTACTAAAGTTTAGGACCCAGTACTGTGATACCTCCATCACTGCTCAGAATTCCTCTAGCTATTTGGGCACTTTTGTGCTTCCATGTGAATTCTAGAATTACTATTTCTAGGAGAATGTAACTATGTATTTGATGGGGATTGTGTTAAATACGTAGATTAGATTGCTTTTGGTAATATAGCCATCTTCAGGGTTAATTTTGCCTACCAATAAGCATAGGAGAACTTTCCATCTTCTAGTGTCTTTTCCACCAAGATATTTTTTGATTTTGGAGCTAAAGGAAATTGGATTTTTCTCCATTTTTTGTTTTGTTTTTTTGTGTTTGAGGAAATGGGGTGTTTTATTTTTAAATCACATACGTTATTTGTGTGTGTGTATACCTGTAGCCCAAAGATTCTGGTAACTTGTACTTTTTGAGACAGGGTTTCTCTGTGGCTTTGGAGGCTGTCTTGGAACTAGCTCTTGTAGACCAGGCTGGTCTCAAACTCACAGAGATCCGCCAGCCTCAGCCTCCCGAGTGCTGAGATTAAAGGCATGAGCCACCACCTCCACCTTTCATTTTCACTTCGTTCTAGAAACTTTCAAATTTCTTCCCTGATTTTTTCAGTGACCTGCTGGTCATTGAAAGGTGTTAATCACCATGCATTTATGCAGTTCCTGCAGTTTTTCTTATTACTGATTTCCAATTAATTACACTATAATCTGATAAAATACAAGAGATTATTTATAGTCTTAGAGAAGTTTCCATGGTATACTGAGAAAAAAACATATATTCTTTTTCTGTTGGATGAACTATTTTGTCATTCCATGCAATATTTGTTAAGTTCATTTGTTCTATTGTAGAGTTCAACATTGAGATTTCTTTGAGAGATTAGATAGGGATATTGAAATCACCCACGATTAATACATCTGGCCCTATCTGGCTTTATCCGTCCATTAGTGCTTGTCTTATGAAACCCAATATTTGCTGCATTCATATATACAATTACTACATCTTCTAGATAGATATTTCCCCTTACTAAGATCCAGTGGCCTTCTAATAATTTTGTTTTGAAGTTTATATTATGAGATTAGCCATACCAGCTTGTGTTCAGTTTCCTTTCATTTGATGGGTTGCCTCCCCCACTTGACTATCATTCTAGGGCATCTTGAACAATATGTGTGCTTCTTGGAGAAAATATATGTATGGCTGGGCCTAGTTCTTTAATCCAGATAAAAACTTATTGCTAAGTTTTTATCCGTGTACGTTTAAGGATACTTTTGATATATATGTACCAACCCCTGTAATTGTTATTGTTTTGTGATCGACTGGATTGTTGTTTGTGTCCATTTTCTTTCCTATTAATATCAGGGTATCGATGGCTTGCTGGACTGGATTGGTGGGGTCCTTTATTCTGCTGTTCCTCTTATGAAATATATTCTTTCCTGTGCTCTTGTAATTGAGGTTTGCTTCTTCCCTCTATGTATATAGTGTCCTTTAAGTGTCTTCTGAGATGCTTAGTGGTCATGAACTGCTTTAGCCTGTGCTTGCTTTAGGATGCTTTTATTTCTATTTTAAAAGACGGTTTTAGCTGGATGCTTAATCCCAACTCTCAGGAGGCAGGGGAAAGCAGATCTCTGTGAGTTCTAGGCCAGCCAGGGATACATAGTAAAACCCTCTCTCAAAAACAAAAAAAAAAAAAAAACACAACAAGATTTCCAAATAGTGAAAAAGTTCAGATACAAAATTAGATGAATAAAAGGGGAATAAAAAACAAAAATGTTGCCAGGTGGTGGTGGCGCACACCTTTGATCCCAGAACTTGGGAGGGAGAGGCAAGCGGATCTCTGTGAGCTGGAGGCCAGCCTGGTCTACAGAGTGAGTTCCAGGACAGCCAGAGCTGCACACAGAGAAATCCGGTCTCAGAAGAAAAACAAAAGTAAGAGGTTTTTCATTGCTGTCCCTCCTTGTGCATCTCCTGGACTGAACCAGCCTCCTACCGCCTGCACACTTCTGCCAGCTGGTGTCTGGTCCTCCCACTTTCCAGATTTGCTTTTCTAGGCCTTCCTTCTCCCAGATACAGTGGCCCAGTTAAGCCTCCCGACCTGTGGATGTTTCCTATCTTAGCTATGTTTTTAACATCATATCCTCAAGATGGCTGCTTTTGGAGTCAGAAGCCCAACAAAATGAGGTTTCATTCAGCTGCAGACCACTCACCAGAGAGATCAGATCCCTCACCAAAAATCGCAAGTGGCTTTGAGGCTCCTGAGTACTGTGGACTGCCTGGTGGTTGGACTGCCAAGCTTTTTTCTGCCTTACCTTTTGGAAGTAGCTGCTCAGTCCCCTCCCCCAGCCAGGGACCATGCAGCCGAGCTTGTGTTAGATGTGCTCCTCTGTGTGGCATGTCTGTTCTTCTCCTCCACCATCCTTTCACTTCCTTTGTGGATTTCTGAAGCCCTTTCTCTGTTTCTGACAATCTTTTTTCCCTTTCTCTTCTGATTCTGACTCTCTTTTCCATCAGCTCTCACAGAGGCAGTCACTGTTCTGCCATTGTCTTGATTAGGGTTTCTATTGCTAAGATCATGACCAAAGCAACTTGGAGAAGAAAGGGTTTATTTCAGATTACACTTCCAGGTGACAGTCCATCACTGAGGGAAGTCAGGGCAGGAACCTGGAGGCAGGAGGGGATGCAGAGGCCATGGAGGAGTGCTGCTTATTGACTTGATCATCATGGCTTGCCCAGCCTGCTTTCTTATAGACCCAGGACCACAAGCCCACAAGCACCACTCACAATGGGCTGGGCCCTCCCCATCAATCACTAATTAAGACAATGCCCTTCAGCTGGAGGCAATTTCTCAATTGAGGTACCCTCCTTTCAGATGACTAGCTTATGTCAAGTTAACATAAAACTAGCCAGGATAGCCATCTTACCCAGAAGTGTTTGGAAAACTCCTAGAAGGCAAGCCTGGGTGAATAGAATGGAGCAGATCCTAGAAAGCATCACGCCCCCACAATGCTTCCCGAACCCTTAGGTTCTGGAGGGCAGAACATAGGCAGGTCTTGTCAACCACACCCAAAGCCCAGGTGGAAGGCCCAGTGAGATCTCCAGTGAAAGGCAACAGGAGATTGGCTGGGCCTGCAACAGGTCCTATGTGGGAAGGGAGGGCACCAACAGAACAAAACAAAACAAAATAGAAAAAAAGCTGGGCAGTGGCACATGCCTTTAATCCCAGCACTCGGGAGGCAGAGGCAGGGGAATCTCTTCCAGTTTGAGGCCAGCCTGGTCTACCTAGCAAGTTCCAAGCCAGCCAGGGCAATACAGAGAAACCCTGTCTTGGAAAAAAAAAATACCCCAAAACAAACAAAAAAAAAAAAAAAAAAAAAAAAAAAAAAAAAGAAAAGAAAAGAAAAAAGAAAGGGAGGGCATAGATCAAACTCCAGCCCCTAGCTGCTGGACTTACAGTGGGAGTGCTTTCTGCAGAAGTCAGTGGTCCTGGAGACGGGAGCTATAGCAGCAACAAGTGCCATGTCCCCAGCCCCTGCCATTAGTCTTTGCTCACCGCAAGCCAAGCCGGATCTTGTGCAGGGTCCAGCTCATCACAACCACTTTCTGGGACAGTTGTCCAACCCCTGACACCCACTCATGTTTATTTTGAACACCTTCCATGAAGGTGTTAGGTAAATCTCAAACTTGTTCCAAAGAGACTCCAGGGTAGGGAAACAGCTCCCTATGCATTACCTAGTACCCTGTGCATATCCTGTGTTTGAGGCCTCCCTGCAGCCTGACAACATTCTAATTCTAAGGTAGGTATTCTAAGTGGAGGAAGCTACCTATGTGAGTGCCTGGAGGGGTGGGGTCACAACTATGGCTGACTCTTCCTGTCTGTCCAGCCATGCCTTCCCATTTGTGCCCTGTACAGGACATTGTGTAATGACATACCCATTCACAGTCTGGTGGGTGTGGAGTGCCTGCTTCCTACCGGTACAATCCTGGCTGGGTGATCTTAGGGATACCTTCTAGAGACCATTGTACAGGTGGGTTCTGACATGGGCGGGGGTAGGAAATGGATTGGTTATCCAAAGGAGTAGGGACAGCAGGTATAGACAGGAGAGCAAGTCAATGCCTTCTGAGGACATAACCTCAAAGACACAGGGGACATAACCCAGAACAGCTGTAAGGAATAGAGGATGGAAAAGAAACAAGATCAATGGACTAGGACTACTGACATAGCTAGGAAAGCCATGACAGGTGAGACTATGGATAGGCATACTGGGCCCTAGGAAGAGGGCAGTGCAGCCTGTGGTGGCATCAATTTCAATGCCTCCACCAGACCCTTGCTTGGGAAGCAGATGCTATCCAGGACAGGTGCCAGGTCTAACCTAGAGCAGAGGGCAGACTCCAGGGAGTTGACAGAACTAGCCTGGCAGAGAATAAATATAGACCAAGACTACAAGAGGGACTGGAGATGGAATTGCCATCCTCAACACAGCTGTCACATGGGGGGCCCATAGAAAATAGTTACAGGGCAGTGGGTACCAGTGTCCAGCACCAGGCCCAGAGTGACCCTTGACGAGAGCCTCTTCTGCAATTCTGCTATCGTAGGGATTGGTGACAGCGTGGATAGTGTGTGCCCATGAATTTGGATACCAGGCCTGGCTCAACGAGGTTCAGGGCAGTTCCATCGGCCTGCAAGGCTCCGGCGTAGGAATGGACTATCATCATAGAGTGGATGGGGCCTTGTAGGGTATGAGTGATGGCGGATGAAGCCTAAGAGGCTAGAGCGGCGTGGTTGGACCTGCGCCCGAGCAAGCAGCGCCACCTGCTGGGCAGACACGTGCGCTGCCGCGGAAACCGCAGACTCCGGGTCGCCCTGCAGCTGTCCTAGGTCTGCATAAAGAGGCACTTAGGATGCGTGGGAGAGCAGCCTGGGGATGGTCCTCACCCATTCTGCCTTGTCCACTCCTCTCCAACACCCTCCATCTCTCCAGTACTCTACCCAATGGCAGATTTAGTCCTCACCCTGGAACAAGGAGTCCAACAGGTCCTGACTGACTCCACTGGGGCTAGCATGATAGACGAGGAAGCCTGTGTACCAAAGCAAACCAGTGAATGTCTGGCCCAACCCTTAAGAGAGGCTGGTCAGCTCTCAGAACCCTAGCCATGTGAGTAAGACCGCCTCACCTATAAGCACAGTGGCTGCCCGGCGCAAGGTGTCCTGGGGGCTCCGCAGGTAGCCCTGGGTCTGACTCAGGAAATGCTTAACATGGCTTGGGTATCGCTGAACCTAGGAACACAATGCTCGTGACAGCATGGAAGTATCAGTCCTTCCTGGAAAAGAGGCTAGGGATTGGCCTCAGAGGGGCATGGTGGTTATGTTTAGCTCAGGTGGAGACTGTTTTGAGGGGGAGTGACCTATAGAATCCCGAGATTCATGGCGCTTCCTCTACTTACCAGGCGGTGGCAGACACGGCTTAGAGCCTCGGGGCTGTCATAGTGAGCCACAGTGACCATCTCCTCCAACAGGCCCCATCGAAGGGCCTGGTCACAGCGGGCTAATGTCCACTCTGAGCTCTGGAATGGGGGAAGCAAGCAGGGTTAGGGGTCCAGAAGACGGCAAGTGGTGGGAGAAAGGGAATTGTGGCCAGAAAAAGGTTGGTAAAACCGAGGGTGAGGTACTCAGTAGACCAGCCCAAGGGAGGAGGACTTGGCCGGAAAGTCCTTGGGGGTTCTTGTTCCTGGCTGGAAACCTTCAGAGAGGCTATACGGTAGGAGTAGTAGTACTGGGTGAGACAGATATAGGACAGAACACTGACCTCGGCAGCATCCCGGCTGGAGTCGTGTAGGCGCAGCAACAGCGGCACCAGACTCTGTAGCACCAATTTCCGCAGAGGTCCCCTGAGCCCCAATCGGAGCCCTCTCTGACCCCGCCGCACCAGCGTTCCAAGGAGTCCCGCTGCTGAAGCACGGACAGAGTCCCGAGCCTTCATGTGAAAATACAGTCAGCTCAGGGAAGCAAGAGTGGGAGAGGAGGTCAGGGCAGAGTAAGGAGGGACAGGGCCTGATCAGGGCCTCAGATTAAGCCTCGATCTGATGGCAGGACCATAGGCAACTGGCTGGACACCCTAGGGAGAGCCTGTGGGTGGGACTGTGCATCTATGGACAATTCTAAGTGGGACACAGTGGGGCCATAGGGCAGGATTTTGCTCACATCGTCCAGTAGCGGTGGGAGGCGTGGTCGAAGCTCAGAGCTAAGGACCCTCACAGGTGCTCCTGGCTGCAACAGTAGTCTCCGCAGCGCGCCTAGTGCAGCACCCACAAGTCTCGCATCGCCTTCGCCCAGTGCTCTTAGGAGTACCGGCAGCAGCGTGTTCACATGCCTTATCTGTAAAGACAGGACTTGTGGCCGGACACTTCCAGCCTAGGACCCACCCAGCCCGACACTACCAGATTGGCACCTTCCCATGATTCATTGCAAGATGGCCAAGACCAAGTAGGCCTAGCCAGCGCACGGTGGGCTCTGGGTCACCCTGCCAAGTTCGAAGTCGCTCCAGGATGACTTCCTCCCGTAAGAGCCTTGCAGTGGGCCGGCTCTGCAACAGCTAGGCAAGGGAACAGAGTCAGTGCTTCTCTGTGTCTACCCAGACAGTCACCCCTCATTACCCTTCCGGGAAGCAGGCTCACCCCAGTAAAGAAGGCCATAGCTGTGAGGCGCTGCAGGTCATTGGCACTGCGTAGCCGAGGAAGCAAGTCTGCAAAAAGCCCTCGCAGATGGTGATCAGCATGCGCCACCATGGCACTAGAGAAGGGTAAACGGGAGCTCTTCCTTTGCTTGGAAGGGCTCACCCCCACCACCTCCTCCATGCCACCACCGCACCTGGCCAGCAGGGAGCCTCCTCCTGTTGTGTTGTCCTGGGGTGTTTCCTCACCTGGCCAGCAGCAGGACACCCTCCAGATGCGTGTGGGCTCCTACCAGTCTCCTCCAGCCTCCTACTTGCTCCATAACTGTGACCACCATTCGGCCACCATCCCCTGTGAGCAGAGCCTTCAAGGCCTCCACTGTGCAGCTGAAGGTGGGAACAGTAGAACAGCTGGGCAGTGAGGGCAAGAAGGGCCTGTCCCACCCATCACTTACCCAAGTGTACCTTCTCACCTGGCATGACTGTGAGGTGGCCCTGGGTGAAAAGGCTCCCAAACCTTAGGGCTGTCAGGCAAGTGAACACCTTGAGCCAGCTCATGCAGCTGTGTGACCAGTGCTAACAGCAGGTGAGGGTAGAAGCCTCGAGTGGCTCCCACGCAGCCTGAGACTGCCAACATCTCCCCAAGAGCACGTGTGGCCTGCAGATCAAGTGAGCCTACCCTTGGAACTCTGTCACATTTGGATGTGTGGAGGACATCCCCCATAAGTGTGACGTGGGAGCTAATCCATAGTCCCACCATCACAAAGCTGCTCTTTAGCTGCTTGTGGCTGGGCCATGCCCCCTGATGGTACTTGCTGGAGCCACTTACTGCCAGTGCTTCAGGCTCAGGACCCGCTGCGCTCTTCAGTGCCCACAGCAGTTGCACCAGCACCTGCCCATTTACGCGCTGGTTCCGGCTTAGGCTTCGCCACAGCTCAGCTGCCACCCTGGGGGTGAAGGGCCATGTAGTGAGGAGGAGCTGCATGGAGTCCTTGGGAAAGACTACCACTATGACTCTAGCAAAAACCTCATCACTGGCCCACATCCCAGACAAAATAAATGCAGACTACAACAGAGCTAGTCCCAGAGATCAGCAGCCATCTGGACCACACTGAGTCCTCACTGAGGAACAGGGAAACAGACCTGATGACTACTGGGGCTGCTGTTACTACTGCTACTATTGTTATTGTTGTTTTTGTAGAGAACAAACCAATGTAACTTCTGGGGTAAATGACCCGAAGAACCAGAGGCTTCCAAGTGCCCAAACCACCATGCTTACTTATTCCACCCACGTCTGTAGGAAGGAGTGTGGGGAGATAAATGACCCGAAGAACCAGAGGCTTCCAAGTGCCCAAACCATCCTGTTATTCCACCCAAGTCTGTAGGAAGGTGTGTGTGTGTGTGTGTTCTGAGTCTCTGCTCCCGTGTGTGTGTGTGTGTGTGTGTGTGTGTGTGTGTGTGTGTGTGGCGGTGCTTCAGGGGCCAGATTCTATTAGCAAGCAATAAAGCCGGAAGGGGGTAAGGAAGGAAGCTGCGTGGGGCCGCGCACTTGCGCGGGCGGGGCGGGTTACCGGTCCGGGGGTAGTGAACTGGGTAGCAGCGCACACACCACATCCTGCGCATGCTCCAGAGCCAGTGCGCTCAGCACCCGTAGGGCTGCCCGCCGGGGTCTCCCCTCTGCCAGGCTAGGTACCTGTGCCAGCAGCCCACGCACCAGACCGTGAACCTGGGTAAATGGGACAAATGAGTCAGGGTCCCTTTAACTCAAAAGGAAACTCTTGCCAGCATGGTACCCACCTCCAACTCAGTAAGAACAGCCTTTGGGGGAGTGTGGTTGAGGTTGTAGTCTCCTCCCACCCAGAAGGGAGGCTTTCAAGA